GTGAAAATCCTCCTTTGAGACATTCAGAGTCTTCTGTAAAAGTAACTGAAATGGAGTAATACTGTGGCAGTGCTTTTTGAGGGAGTGAATTATCTCATGTCTCCAAATCCTCACCTGCTTGTTGAGAGGATCACAAATCAGCAGGTCTGGTGTGCACAAAACATCCACTGAACTCAAAAGTCAGGATAGGCTACAAGTCCCATTTCATGTTCATGTTCTTACTGTTTCTAGTGTGACTTTTACAGAACCCATCCTAATAAAGCCCTTGTTCAGCCATTTGTCTAGCTAAATTTGTAATGTAGGAACAATCTGCTTTGGGAGCAAATGCATCCCTGAAGGAAGTGGGTATTGTAGTCAGTCAATGAGATTGCCCCTACTTACACCACAGATAAATGTGTTGCTTTGTCCTAACATTTCTCCTTTGCAATAATTTCACATTCCAAATTACAAACCTCTGAAAATTGTAGATTATAATAAATGTGCTGACACAACTTCAACTGTTATAGTAAATGGCATTGCTCTAATAATGAAATAAAAAATCCTACTTAATCCTATTCTTTCCCTAAAGTGGTGTTTTGCATTAGCTATGGATGAAAAGACAAACAAGTACATGTATATTCAATAATAATGTCAGCTGGGTCAGAGAAGAATAGGAAATAAAATGAATTCATAACACCCCTGGAGGTAACTTTCTGATACAGGCAGTTTTCTCTTTGATTTGCCCTCATTGGCAGCATTCATTGTAATTTTAACATAGCCTCCAAATTGGCCTTTATTAATAGCTGTCCTGATCTTAATAACAAATACACTCTAATCTCCAGTCTGGGTGCTTCTGAGGTGAACAATTACATAGAGCAGAATAGATCATATGGGTATTTAGAGGCACCTCTCACTCAGGAGTGCCTAATTTCACCTTCAGACCATCCAGACAGTGTTTTGGAGAGCTGTAGATACAGAGCTCTTCTTTCTCAAGGCTTTGAAGCTAAAATACCTTTCTAGATATGATAGTGAAATAGTCACCTTGAATTAAGGTTGCTGGCAATCTTAAAAAGTCCTTATTGAGCTTTGAGTGCAATCAGATGGTACTTGCTTATAAATGAGAGTTAATGGAAACATTAAACAGTACAAGCTACTGTGACCCATGCCTCCAGAATATTAAGCACATTTTAAAATTGTGGAACGCCATCTATTCCTTTGTGTTCTGTAAAATATTACTTTTTCTAACCAATATTCTCTGGGAGCAGGTTATTTGAATTGTTCAGCATTCTACATTTGCATGTAGTGTGTATTTCTAATTTATTTCCTCACTTATCTGGCTACCATATATTTCTGTTTGATACTATACTCAGTTTCTCTTTAATTATTCCATCTGCCAGTAGAGTGTGATGCATTTTAGAAGTTGGTTGGTTTAGTTGTTGAAGCTTTGAGTTTTGGAACTGAATGGGATGACATATTCTTCATTTAGCAGAACGGGCTAAGAAGAATTACATATCCCAAGTGATAAGCTTGGAACTGCTAAAGAAATGCCAAAATCCAATTTTTTTCGTCTCTCTAGTTGTCTAAACATCTATTAGTCTCTTGAAGGGAACTCATAAATCCTGCAAATTTAGTTTCTCTGAAACCAACTCTAACAGTTGTCCTTCCTCCTAATCATGTTTTATATCAATTTTATATTTTTCAATATTCAATAAACATGTCTTGTACTTACTGTACTTGTTAGAAAGTATCTGCAGTATAAGCTGTATGAGGACAGTTATTAATCAGCCATTTCAGATGGCTGTAGGGTTAGTTTAGTAAGTGTATCCATTTATCTTTTTTATGTTTTCTTCTTTGTTCTTTCCATTTATCCAATATGGAATTTCTTTTATCTTTTTTGGTTTATTTCTACCAGGGTATGTCAGAAAGAAATTTAACACATAAAAAATAGGAAAAAAAAAAAAACCAAAAAAACAAACAATCAAAAAAACCCACCCAATAGCTGAAAGAAAGAAAATATACCACCCTTTGGGTTTCATTCATGAAAAGATCTTTGCATTATATCCACTTAAATCTGCATTAAAAAATAACAATAGAATGCATTATCTAGAAGTGATTCTTTAAAGCAGTGGATAATTTACACATTAAAGTGAAATGTAGGTTTAAAAGCAGGAGTGTAGGATTGAATTAGAGTGAAGAGTCAGAATGATATAGTCCTGTATGAAAATGGTCTCGGTTTCCTGGGGGTATTGTCCTTCTGGTGTAATGAGACTTGCAGATAACAATCAGGGACTGTGGATAGATCAAGGCACAGCGATACATTGAGAATGGCACAGCAAGTAATGGCTCTGGGGAAACAAATGAATGTGTCTGCTAGATAAACAGCATTAAAAGTTTCTGTTCATCGCCAAGTCCAGGCCTCTAAAGATTAATAATCCCTGAAAAATGGAGTGTTGGGTTTGAATGGCAAGGTTTTGGTAGCAGGGGGGTGCAGCAGTGGAAGCTGGAAGCTTCCCCCATTTCCAGCAGAGCCAGTGCCAACCTCCAGGATGGACCATGGACCTGCCACCTGCCAGGCTGAGCCCAGCACTGACAGTGGCAGTGCCTCGGGCATAACAGATTGTAGAAAGGGAAAAAACTGCTGTGCAACAGGAGCTGCAAGGGAGGAGTAGGAGTCTGTGAGAGGAGCAGCCCTGCAGACAGGCAGGGCAGTGCAGAAGGAGGGGCAGGAGGTGCTCCAGGTGCTGGAGCAGAGGTTCCCCTGCAGCCCCTGGTGCTGCCACGGAGAGGCAGCTGCGCCCTGCAGCACAGGGGGGGCCTGGCAGCAGGGATCCAGCCCGGGGAGGAGCCCAGGCCAGAGCAGGGGGATGCCCACAGGAGGCTGTGACCCAGGGGAAGGCTGTGCTCGTGTCCTGGTGGAGAGAGAAGCCCACGCTGGAGCAGGTTTGCTGCCAGGTCTTGTGACCCCCATGGGGGACCCACATTGTGCCTGGAGGATTTACCCACAGAGGGCATGCATTCTGGAACAGTTCCTGAAGAGATGCAAGCTGTAGGAAGGTCAAGTTGAAGAAGTTCACGAGGGGCTGGCTCCTGTAGGAGGGACCCCATGCTGGAACAAGAGGGGAAGCATGGGAGGAGTCCTTCTCCTGAGGAGGAGAAACTGCAGAGACAATGTGCAGTGAAATGACCATAGCCCTCATTCCCTTGCACCACTGTGAGGGGGAGGCAAAGAAAATTGTCAGTGAAGTCCAGCCCAGGAAGAAGGGAAGGGTGGAGGAAAGGTGCTTTATCATTTGGTTTTATTTCTCATTGTCCTACTCTGATTTCATTGGCAATACTTTGAATTGATTTCCCCAAATCGAGTCTGCTTTGCCCATGACAGTAATTGCTGAGTGATCTCTCCCTGTCCTTTTCTCAACCCACAAGCCTGCTGTTACATTTTCTCTCCTGTCCAGATGAAGAGAGGAGAGATAGAGCAGCTTTGGTGGGCACCTGGAATCCAGACAAGGTCAACCCCTCACAAATACTAACTTTTAGAAGATTTTTTTCTTTTAATCCATGCTGCAGTTGTACTTTTATGGGTTCACATATTGCAGGGAGGCACTGGCCATTTATCAGGATGCTAATGACTGGTAGTTATGTGTCCAGGTACTTTGTAACCACTGGGTTGCCCGACAACAGAGGTCACTGGAAGACAGATGGCTCACAAACCAGTTTAAAGATCTCCTTCACTTTTTCTTTTTAAGGGCACCATCAGGGCTTCAAATATTCTAAAATTTCCACATTGGGATTATTGTCCCCTCTTTAAAATTCCATGTGTCAGGAGGCTTCCATGATTTACTGGTAGTCTTCAAACAAAAAAAACCTTCCTAACAGAACTTCCATTGATTGCTAGAGTTATTTAAAGGCTAACAATAAAAAATCATAGACTTCAGGCCCCATCAAGGCAAAAAGGAAACAATAATTGCAATTTGCAAGCCTCCTGCCGTGGGTAAAGGAGCTGGGGCTGGCAGAATGGAAGATCTGAGATTTTAATGGCTGCTGCAGCAGGTCGGGGGAGATGGGCCAATTCTTTCCTACATCATCCCATGATAAGACAATTTGTCAAGGTGAAAAGATGGGTGTGAGGTAGAAGTGTGCCCAGATGACTCTCAGCTCAGATAAAAGCGTGAATATATGGGAAGCTATACAGGAGCTTATTTGGTGACTGCTCATCTCTCTAGGCAGAGACATCCCCAAATGAGAGACCTTTTCTGTCTTTGTAGCACCAAATAACATGGTTTCTTACCCCATGTGTTTTCCTGTACCCAAGTCTTGGATTGAAGGAAGTAATCTGAGTGTTAATACAGTAATTTGCAATTCAGCTCTTTTGCCAAAGGAAGGGAAGGAGGCACAGGGACAGCCACATTTTCTAGAAGCTTCCCTCCCTTTTTGCAAGGGCAGGGCACAGGCCTGTGAGATTTCCCTGTATTAAAATATAAATAAATAAACAAAAATGAGGGTATGAACTGGCAGGTTCCCAGCTTGGAAAATGTTTGGTCTGCCTTTGGACACTAACAACTGTGAGCCCCTATCAAACCTCAAAGAAGCACCTCCTCTTCTTGCTGTTACCCACTTTGCATTCTCAGTTTGATAAGGTACCAGAAAGGAAATGGGTGGTACCCAAACTGAGAATGAAACATGGACAACTTTTTCTCAGAGCTGAATTTCTCTTCTGATTTAGAAACACTTGTAGGTGTATATGGACTAATCCCTGTGAGACAATGTGGAAATAAAAGAGGACATGAAAGAGCAGCTGACTGCAAACTTTATGATGGATGAGTCTGAAATTCATTTGTTCTACCCTAGAATCACAAAGAAGCACTAATACATACATACATGGGCTTTACTTACCTCAGGTCTGATTTTGCTGTTGTTGAACTGAAAGAGAGTTTTTCCTTTGAATTTGCTGAGGTGTAGATTTGGCCCATTGTACATAAAGTTAATTCATTAAATGTAATTCTGTATTTCTCCTTTTTTTTCAGAATGCTTGAGGATGATCTAAAACTCAGCAGTGATGAAGATGATAATGAACAGGTAAATACATCTAATATAAGTGTACAGACCATTTAAACCAGCAAAGTTATTTCATAGGTTGGAACTCTTTGTGTGTTGACATACTGTATTTGCATGAAAAGCATTTTGGTGTGCTGCAGAATCCATTAGCTTAAACCTTGTTTGCCTCCTCATTAGAGGAAACAATCTCAAACAGGAATGTGTTTCAGTTGTGCTGGTTCACTTTGTGCAGTGGATTAAACTAAGCCAAAATATGACTAATTAACCTTTGAATGAGAGACCACACAAAGCATCACCCAGGAAGAGCCAATGTGTTCTGAATCTCTGTCCTCCATTGTACCAAGTTAACTGTGGAACAGCCTCCCCTTGCTTTGCACCCATTTTCTGAATTTATGAGCTTTTGGAAGTGTGTGTAAGAGGACCACATAAGAGCACCAACACAACTACAGAGTTTGTTTGCACTTTGCAATCCATTTATACAAGCCCACACAAGAAAATTTGGTCTGCAAGTTTTTGTTCCAGTCAAAGAGTAAAGGTTTGGGAGTCCACAGTAATCCAGTGACTCCTATTTGTGAAAGGGAAAGCCCTCAGCATGTAGCTCTAAATCAATACTAAAAGTTTCTCCACATACTTGGGATATTAATGAAGAATCATTTTCAGAAAACTGGCTCATGTCATTCTCTATCCTTCCCACTTTATAAATATTTATGTATAATGCTGGGAAAAAAAGCTGGTGAAATTCATATTCTCAACATTCTTATCAGAAAAAAAATGAAACTTTGTGTTAAATTCATCCTTCATTTTACTTTATATATGCAATAGGTTCAAATGTTTAAATGTCTGCAATAGAGAGGAAGGTAATGCTATAATTCAGCCTAAGATCATCTGTTCAGTCTGGGAAATGTTAATTATAGGCCAATCGTTCTTTCTTATTTATTTTTAAACCACCTAAATGTTCTCCTTCAGCCTACCTCATCCATCCTTAGGGTCATGCCAGGAAAGATTTACCTTCTGGTGAAAGTTGACCCCTTAGTCATACAAGTCAGTATTTTTTAGCACTGGCAAGACTCTTAATGTCTTCTGAAGCCAAAGGGTCAAAATCCTTGTGCAATGCAGTGTTGTGCAAACACAGTGACTAATGACACCATAAGATTTGCAAATTTGCCCAAATGATCCTGTAAAATGACATTGTGATCCTGAGATGCCTAAAATACAGAAATGGAAATATATTGTCAGGTAGCAGTTAATGTTGTTTTCCCACAGTAACAGTTTTCTAGTGACTTAAGTAGAATTTGCAGAGTTTATGGAGTTCATACTGCTAGGCTAAAATCCCTTATCACTGGTGAATGGAGAAGCAGAGACCTGGACCAGTGTTTGCTGGCATCAAATGGATAGCCCTGACTGACTTGAGCAGATGTCATCTCTGATGTTAGCCCCAAGCAGGGAAGAGCTCAGTGCACAGAGGGGTCCTGACAGCTCTGGAGCCCTCCTGCTGTCAGTGTGGGATGTGCCTGTCACCCAGCAGCATCCTGAGGGTGAGCAGTGTCCCTGCTCCAGGCCAGGGCTGCAGCTTGGGCCCTTCTGTGGTGGGGCTGTGGAGCTGCAGGAAGCCTCAGACTGCTCCCTAGCTCCTCGTGTCTTCCCGGAATACATTCACAGCTTGGGCTGCAGACAAACAGAGAGCACCACAGGGACCATTCATGGAGTTTCTCAACATTTTGTACTACTTAGAAAATTTTGTGATTTTTTTCTCATACAATCATTTCATTTAGAAAATTTCTTCTAAGATCATCAAGTCCAACTCTTAACTGAGCACTACCAAGCACACCACTGACTGCCCAGTTTGGTGTCACCTATTAACTGACCTGTATCCTTAGGGATTCCAAATAAAGCAACTGGACACAACTGCACAGTGAGAACATTTCTTAAATGCCCTGCACTTCAAGGGATCCTTCAGCTCTCCTGTGTACCCCACATAAGTATGGTTGCTTCTCTTCTATTTGTTTTACAAATAGAGTATAGACAAAATTATACAGCTGACTCAGGAGTTATACATTCCTCATTCAGGAATTTAGGTTTCCTGAATTAATGACTGTAAGTTTCTGCCTGTGTATTATGGTCAGGCTAAACCTTGCAGGACTCTGCTGCATCTCTCATTCATTGCACCTCAGCAGCCTCTGCCACATTTCTTTAAGGAGAGGGGATTGGAAACTGGAAGAAAGGTTGATCTGGCCCACTGGTCAGACAGATAAACAACAAAAAAGCAACTTTAAGGGCTTTTTCAGCATAAATATTTTGCAGTCAAGTGACCGTTGTTATTCAGGTGTACACATGTGCTCATTCTGGCAGGGAGAGAAAAGATTAAAACTCTTGGCTTAAAACAATTCTAAAAGTTTATGCAGCATTTCCATAAGGAAATGGAATCAGTCTTTACAGTCTTTATGATTTTTTCTGCTATAAGCCTGCAGCCAGTATGAAGCATGAGCTGGCATTTACTCACTTTTATTCAAAAACCCCAACACAGCATGTAAATATTGAGTTTGTTTCCTTTATTTCTACTCTAATTTTAAGGAAATCAAAATTCTTTGGAGCAGTGGTCAGCAGGAAGCCCTAGGATTTCTCCTTTGAGAATTGCTATGGACCCTTCAATTTTTACAGGATAGTAGTGACACTGATCCATAACTGTACTTGGAAAGCAACTTTTAGTGAAAGTCTGTAGAATGTGGGGAGAGTTTGATCTATCAGCCCATGTTCTGACACTAGCAGTAGTCCATTTGTCAAGGTGGAAGATTGTTAGAAACATGGCTGCAAGAAATAAAGCTCTTCTGTTTGCTCCCTCACTCCTATGAATGAGCACCCTTATTAACTGTATTGCATTTACTCAGGTGTCTGAGGGCCTTTACTGTTTCAGGTGTTACAGATCTCCTTCCTTTTCTCCCCTCTGCTGAGGAGGAGCACAGCTGCACAATAGCTCCAGTCAGTCATGTAACTGAGAAGTTGAGCTTCATTTCTGGATAGGATAGGAACTGGCAGGTTGAAGTCAATGGAAGGTATTTATTTTACAGATAGCATCACCAAGGCTGTTACTGGTTGTGCTGCCCACTTTAGGCATTCCCTTTTCAAACAGAATTTTGAATAACTGGAAATTGCTCCTAAAAGTTATAAACATGATTTGGAGAACCCTCCTTAATGTGTTATGTTTATTTTGGTTAAGGCACACATGATGATGGCCTAGCAACATATCACCAAGAAAATGCTGAAGGAGACTAAACACTTTAATTTCACCCCAGGGGGTTTAAGACACTTCAGCAACTGAGAGCTGACTGCAAATTCAACCTCCTAGTGTCAAAGTGCTGCAAATTGCATGGAAACTCTGTAGGTTCTTTTCCTTTTAGCCTTCTGGCAGCTGTGGGCTTGATGCAGAAATGGTTGAGTGAATTTCTTTGGGCTGCAACCTGCAGGAAGCCCGGTGAGATGTTCATTGTGGGTGCCTTCAGATTTCAAATGTAGAGTTAAAGTACACTAGAGATATGGAGAAGTTTGAGAATGGAGTTTGTTTTGTGAGGATGAGTGTTTGGGCTATTTTTGAGATTTCTAGGGCTAAAGCGATGCCTAGGGCTGTTACAGCTAGGGCAGTTATTTTCATGGAGAGATGTATGGTTGTTGGAGGGGTTTTTGTGGGGATGATAAATGAGGTGATGAGGAATCCTGCTAGGATACTTCGTAGTGCAAGGCAAGTACATTGTCAATTTTTGGACCATGTAGGTCATTGCAGTAGAGCATGGGGCAAGTTACAAGGACTGCACCCCAAACTCCTTTCAGCACCTTCTGGTGCAGCAGTGAGGGACTGCATTTACCCACACCTGTAAACACAACCTGAACCTTCACCTGTAAACACAACCTGCCCCTACACCTGTAACACAACCAGCACCTACACCTGTAAATACAACCTGCATCTACACCTGTAAACACAACCTGCACTACACCTGTAACACAACCTGCACCTACACCTATAAACACAACCTGCACCTACACCTGTAACACAACCTGCATCTACACCTGTGACACAACCTGCACCTACACCTATAAACACAACCTGAACCTACACTTGTAAACACAACCCGAACCTACACCTGTAACACAACCTGCACCTACACCTGTAAACACAACCTGAACCTACACCTGTGACACAACCTGCACTGCACCTGTAAACACAACCTGCACTACACCTGTAACATAACCTGCGCCTATACCTGTAACACAACCTGCACTACACCTGTAAACACACCCACAGTGCAGACACTGTGGAGCTGACCATGTGACACATGCTTTGTCCCATAGACAAAATGCTGATTTTCACGTCTCATTGTGGGTGATTTGGGATTAAAGACACACAGAAAACGATGGGTTAGATCTGGAATCAATTTTCATTTACAGCTGAGAAGCAGTTATTGATGCTGCGCTCACAGTTCAATAAAAGATCTAAAGATATAGACCTTGTGTTTCTCTTTCAATATAAGCAGCATAATCAGTGTCAAATGTTTTTACAAAGTAAATTGTATTGACAGTTTTATTAAAATTGCTGTCTTTAAAGTTTTAAGTTATCCACAATTTGACCTACTTGAATGGTTTTTTAATATGTACGCTGACCAACCCAATAGATTTTTATGTCACATATTTATAATATCAGGTACACATCTGTTTAATGTATTATTTGAGAGGTACTGTAACATGCAAGCATTGCTTGGATTGTGAACTCTCTTGGTGTTGTCAATTGGCACATGCATCAGTATTGCATTCAGTATGGCACAGGATGTTCAGACTGGCTGCAAGAGGTGCAGTCCAGGCAGATGACAGACATGCTGTTAGTAAACCAGGAGATGACAAGGCATTTCAGACATGTTAATGTTAACACTCCTCTCTGAGGAAGGACACAGCTTTTTAGATGGCTTTATTACTCTGTTAAAAAGGCACATCAGAAATTACGAAGAGTAGTGAAGATTTTTAATTAGTAGCTCATT